ATGGCGACGAGGTGGACATCGACATCGTCATGAGCAACGGGGAGGCGCGATACGTCACCGTGTCGGACAACGGGCCGACTCACGAACCCTACTTCGGCGAAACGTGGGGCTGTATGCCGTCGCTGCTGCCTCGTGAAAAGGTTGAGGACTTGCGCAAAATGGCCGAAGACTCCGTCAAAGCTATCGGCTTCGAGAACGGCATCTTCCACGTTGAGTTCAAGTACACGTCGAGAGGGCCGCGGCTCATCGAAGTGAATGCGCGGATGGGCGGCGGGCCTATCCACAAAATGCATAAGCACACATTCGGCGTCGACCTGGTGGTGGAGCAACTGTTCATCGCTGTCGGAATTCCCTGCAATCCATGCGCCGCAGACGTGCCCAAAAAAGCCGTAGCCTCCGCCTGCTGCAACGCGCCGCGCGGGGGCTGCATCCCCGACCGACAGATGTTCGAGGCGTTCAAGCAGAGAGAAGGCATCTTGTCGGTGACGCCGCTCATCAAGCCGGGCGACCGCGTGTTCGGGCCTGAAGAAGGCATGCCTACGTGGATAGCTGAAATCTTGGTGGAGAGCGATGACGGTGCTGCGGCGGCGCGAGATTTTGCGTTGGCGGTGGAGCAGCAAGTGATTGACGCTTATTCGAACGTGGTGAAACCCTATCATGGTTGATTTTGCGCGAAGAGGCGGAATAGGTGCACGAGCTCCTGCGCATGCAGACACGTGCAGATACGAATCGCCCACAATGCTTGAAGGAGGGGTACAGAGATTTTGGTAGTGAAGTTTGTACAGAAATCTCAGGAACTTGCCTCTTCGAGCTCATTTTTTCCCGCTTGTGCATATGTGGTTCACTTATGGCATGCAGCATTCTCCGTTGTCCTTTGACTTGTACAGCACGTCTCGGACAGGGAATCAACATGTTGTGCTTTTTCACATGTCACTTTGGACAAGCAGCGAGAGGATTGTCGGATGCGCCTACGCTCTGGCAAGTAAAGCTGGAGCGTTGGGTATATGGGCTGCGCAGGAAATGCGTGTTGGGGGTACTAGCTTAGTGCTTTCCTGCTACCTTCCGTCGTCGACGCTAGATTGCCACCCGCCGCACCAAAGCGCCAGGGCGTGCTTGTGTGTGGGGAGTTATCTTGCTGTCACGTCTTGAGTGGTGAAGGAGAGAAAGAAGCAGGGTCTCGTAGAGCCTGATGGCAGGCCTGGCGACTGATGCGCAGTTTGTCCGGACGTTCCGTGCAACGTGTGGTGCTGGCATTTTGCAGACATCGGGAGTTTGAATGTTTTGCTGTGCTGCTTGCTGGGCGTAGGGCTTTGTCTACAGTCTACGTCTTTTCTCAGCCTCGCATCGTGGAAAAGAACCGAGCGAATTGGTGGAACAAGTGCCCAAGAGTTGCAAACCAGGCGCAGCCACAGGGTGCCCTCGCAATACTCCGCGCAGCCTTGATCTGGGGCCTGCAGGCAGGCACTTGAGGGCAAGTTGCGTCTTGAAGACACGTCCACGATTATAGCAAGCTAAATGCCATCGTGGTCCTGCACGTCGCCAAGTATGCCAGAACGGGCCAGCCTGAAATGGCTTGGTCCACGTGTCAGGAGTCATTGTCCTTCCTCTTGGGCTTGGAAGTCTTCTTCTTCCTGTATTACCTCTACAAGCATGCCAGCTTGCAGGCATGCAGCTTGCTTTGCCAAACGCCTAGCCTTGTAGAAGGGACTGCGGCTTAAGCTAAGGCTTCAAGTTCAGAGGCGGGGGGCAGCATTCACCTTTCCTGGGAGGCACCTGCAATCCCTCCAAGGATGCCGCCAGGCAAGTCTTTGGCTTGGTCCCTAAGTGTGCGTGTTTTTGCACGGATCGCTTGTAACTCGCATGTGGGCAGATACAGGTTTCGGTTGGAGCAAAGTTATGAGTTGGGAAGCTCCTCAAATTCTTGTTCCATGCCGGGTAGACTGGGATCGGCCGAGCCGCGAACTTGAAGCGGCTGCGGCTTTCTACAGTGATGCCCCGAAGTAGCGAAGTGAACCTTGACTGGTTGGGGGGTTGGGGTACTGGAGGTTCGGTTGAGGGACAATGCGTGCTGCAGTCCCTGCTCAAAAAAAGTCAAGCGGGCAGTGTCGCAGAGTCTGTTGCCTTTATATGGCATTATGGCCCCAGCTTTCAACATCGCCTGATGAAACACTGCGACATCTCACCGTTTGAATTCGACTCTCCGAGACAGCATCCTTGCATTATGCCAAAGACGACGGGCGAATCTGCGAGACGGTGCGGGCATGAAGTCACAGGTGGAGGTGTGTCGTGCGGTAGCATCGGAGGCAGCTTGGCTTGGACTTGGTCCTAGTTGGGGCTGCGATGCGGGATCAGAGGCACTTGCGGCACCTTGTCCTGCCTTATCAGGTGTGGGACAGAGCGGTCGTCCTTCTGGAAAGTGCGACTGCTGAAGGAGTGGAGCTCAACAGGATCCTTTGCAGTGCTGCAGCTGGGCTTACTGACAATGCATGGGTTCTTGTCCAACTTAGTAGTTCGGCATTCGTCACAACCTGGTATCCAGCAGGCCATCAAGTCGTGTCGGCAATCCACTTGCTGGGCATGGGCCTGGCAGCTCCTGGGTGATGCAGAACGCGGTCTTAACCCAGACCTCCTTACCTACAACACTGCAGCCACAAGCACACGTCTCAGCGATACGTGCGTCGAACGCCTGGAAGGGCCTAGAAAAGAACTCCGGGACCGAGGCGTGACAGGACGTCAATGGCAAATTCCGATGGACATGATGTCGGGCCTGCGGGAAAGCTTCCTCGAGGCAGATCTGATCACTTACAGTTCTGCCATCTCAGCCTGCCTCACAGTTGCAAAGAAGCTTCCTCGCAGCATGCACATGCACACGCTCTCTCTTTCTCTCTTTCCCTCTCTCTCTCTCTCTATCTCTCGATCTCGGTGCAAAAATGCCCTCCTTGAAGTCTCCACTGCATGCAAAGAGACTGAGGTTCCAAAGGCGGCTTGTGGCTTCGCTCCCTAGCTTTGCTGGCGGCGCTGGAAAGGGGTGACCTGGAGGACCGGGGACACTTTCTGGCCATTTCTGTTCTCGAACGGAAGGCTTCGTTTCATGTGCAAAGAGGCAGCTCGCTTTGCTCAGGCTGATATCGTGGCATGGGGATCTGTTGTGAATGCCTGTGCACCATGCAGCGCTTGGGAGCCTTGCTTACACTTGCTGTTGAAGCTGGCGGGCAGGTCGGGGTGTAAGGTCGACCTTTGACAGACACGGCACGAGTGTTTATGCTTTTTGATTCTTTGATGTGGGACTGTGTTGCCTCGCACTGGAATTTTCCGCCTCGTGCAGGGGGCATGCTGCCAACAGTCGGCTCTACGTCTCTGCAATGAGCTCCTTCAGGCGACACTGGCAGCAAGCCCTGCAGCTGCTGTGGATTCAACAGGGGCCTGTCTTGACCTTGTGCAACAGTTTTCTTGCCTCCTTGGAAGAATGCGGACAGTGGCAGAGGGCACTACAGTTCCTGGATGTGCTTCGTGACAAAGAACCCAAACCAGATGTCGCTACCTACAACACTGCTCTGAGTGCATGTGCAGCAGCGAGTTGTTGGGAGCTCGCCTTGGCTACTCTGTGCGGACTGGAAGATGTACAGCCAGATGCGATCACATACAATGCAGTCATCACGGCTTGTGCCAATGCTAGCCGGTGGCGCGGAGCTCTTGCACTCCTGGTTCGCATGAGGGGGTTGAAGAACCGGATTTCCTTCAACACTGCGCTGCATGCTTGTGCCGGCAGTGCTTTTGCCACATTTGAGTTTGAGGGTATGAGGGAGGCACTGATCCAAGGGTCGTTTTTTGGCAGAGCATACGGATGGTGTAAAATCTTGCACGAGCTTCCTGGAAGCCAGGTGCCGCTTGGCAGCAGAGCCTGGCACTTTTGGCGAACATGGGCCGAGCTCGTATGGCCCCCGACTCTTTTACCCACACCGCCATTCTGAGTGCTCTTGGGAGCCCTGGCTGCACCTACGCTCTGACGGGAAGCATTACTCACGAATGCGTGCGGATGCTAAGGAGAGCACAGCACTGGCAAGACGCTGTAATTTGGCCTGGTCCCAAGATGGTTTTGTTGAGATGCCAAGGTTCCAAGATGCACGGCACAAAGCACTTTGAAAGCCGTGAGAGGTTTCGGAATTTTGGGGCCTCCTGGCCAAGTCCGGAGGTTTACAATGCGGTTCTCGATGCATACGAGAAAGGCTTGGACTCCACCCCAGCTGGGTTTTTTCCTCGTGGACCTTGTGCGCACGTGCAGGTGGCGAGTGGCAGGGTGCCCTGTGCCTGCTGTGGGAGATGCTGGAAGCCGGCTTCAAGGCCGACCTCGTCAGCTACAGCACTGTGAGCAGTGCGTGTGACAAGGGAAGCGCTTGGAAGTCGGCTTTCCAAATCTTCACAGAACTCAGCCCGTGCTTGCTTCGAGCTGATCTGCTCATTTACAGAACTTGGGCCGCAGTCATGTTTGTTCTCTGCCAGCTGCATACACGTCTTCCGGGCCCATCACAGAAGCATGCACAAGCTAAGGCACTACACTTGGTGCTTGCGATCGCGTGCCAAAGTGGAGGTGGGGCCTTCAAGTTTTCGGTGACCTCCAGTTGGATCGCCTGGACCCTCGAATTGTTGCTGCGACAGTGTGGGGCGAGGGGTATTGACAAATTGGACTCGACCTACATTGAAACCACGTGATGGGCTTGTGCACATGTCCTGAGCAACAGGCAAGGCACATGGAACAGCTGAGGAAGCGGATGTAATTTGCTCAGCTGCGGCGGTTGGCGCAGCAGCGACCGGTTCAAAGTGGCCATTGGCCTTGCGTTTAGTTGCCACCCTATCAAGCAGGACTTAAGCGCCAGCAGCTTGTTAGACACCTGGTGGCTTGGATCACGGCTTGTGCTTTCACGCAGGACGCCTTCTTCCACCTTCAGCAAAGCTGTCACAGCTTGCGAGTGCAGTGGACAGCCATCCAGTGTATCTGGGCACTGTTTGCACCTTCATCCTGCCTCGAATGCTAGATTGCATGGAGGTTTGCCAAAGGCATGATTGCAGGATGCCTGCAAGCAGTGCAGCGAGCGTACGTGCCGACGAGCAAGCTCAACCGGCGGCAACAAATGCAAAACGAAGCGTTGTCCTTTCATTGTCGGTTGAACTCCCGGCTTCACAGGCTAGGCGCTGTTTGCAGATTTCATTGTTTGTGCTCTTGCTTTTCATGGGGTGGAGATGTTTGACGTCGGAAGCTTCGCAAATGTCCAGTGAGTTGATGCAGTCTCTAGTCTCTTTTGAAGAGTGCGAGGGTAGTTGGCGGTTGGGTTTTTCGCAACGAGGGTTTCGGCTGCCTTTGCCCTGCAAGCTTGCACCCACAAGACTGATGCGGGCGCGAGATGTTAAAGCTTGTTAGTTTGTCCACCCTTGCATGGTGGAGACGGTCCTTGGAACAGCTTCAGTGTTGGCCCAAGCCGACATGTAGCAGCTGGTTCAAGCTGTCAGGTGAAAAGGCAGACACTCTTCGTAAGTCTGATTCGTTATTCTCTTCGTGAGCCGTCCTGTCTCCATCTTGCACCACTTTTCATTTACGTTGAAGTGCATGTCGGCAGATTTCGACGTTGTATGGCATGTCGTGTTACAAAGTGGAGACAAGTGTTGCTTTCCAAGGTGCGGGGTTCCAAAACTCGCTTGGCCAGCATTGAATTCAAGCTTCGGAGTGCTGCAGGAGATTCAAGAGCACGGCCGCTGGCATCTGGCAACATGCCTGGTGTGCGAAGTGGCTTCCGTCACCTTAAACGCCATAATCGTGACAGCTCTCATCAACTCGTGCGCCAGGAAGAGCAACCAGACTCACAAATTTCGATGCTGTGTTCACAGCGTTTATCAGCCTTTCCTTGTGCAGCCGGGTAGTGCCCTCAGGCTATTGGGAGTGGTCCGCGTGCCTCCTCGACGGGGTGCGCCTATGGAGTCTCCAGGTGCGCTTTGAGTTCTAAGGTTTCGCGAAAGCCCGGAGTCCTGCCAAGACTTGGCCACGAGGCCGATGTCGTCCTCCACAATGCCGTCTTGCGGTCATTCTGTGGAAAGGCCCTCTGGGCACAGGCTCCATCTGTGCTCGCAATGACCACATCATGTTCTCCATTGCAGTCTTTGCGCATTGTGCCCCGGAAGACTATGGTTGATCTGGAGCTGATGGGGCAGCGGGCCTTGCTGCTTGATGCCTACAGTGCCAGCGCTTCTATGAAAGCCTGTGAATCAGGCTCGCAGGAACACTTGATCTCTCTGAACTCGGATTTGTGTTTTGCACGTGCAGCGTGCGTGGCTTGGGCATCGCCGTCTTGTCTCGGCACAGGGGGCTGGCGCGTTGCAGCCGCACAGCTTCAGTCATTCCTGCAGCTGCAGCTTGAAGCTACAGCTGTCAACTCCAATATTCTTGTGACTGCATTTGCAGCTTGGCTTGTGTTTTAAATGCTGGGCTGGGTGGGGCGCGACGTTGCGTGGAACATCCGCCACACCATGGTTGCATGTGCATCATTGAAGACAGGGATGTGCAGCCTTTGAGCAAGCACCGGGAGCCAACACGGTTTCTTCAACATGAGCGTGTCGAGATCTTTTCATCAAAGGAGGCGGTGGCCAAATGGCAACAACCACTGTCAATTCTCGGCAGCATGTACTTCTCCAGCCTCCAGAGGACGGTGCCCTGCCAGTAGGAGGGAGCTGCTACAGCTGCAAGAGATTAGGTCAAAGTGCGAGTTTTAACTTTCTCAGGTTGTCTCCGTGGCCTCTGCCATTGCAGCCTGCGGTTCCGCGAACTACTGGCAACATGCTCTTGCCCTGCTCGATGGCTCTGCGCGACACAGCCTGGAAGCTAACCTGCCGGTCCCTGAGACAGGGGGAGGGGTCGAGTGTGCGCTCCTATTTGGGTCGAGTGTGCGCTCCATTTGTGTCGAGTGTGCGCTCTCCGGTGCGTTTCGAAGCAGAAATGCTACGCTGCACGAACAATCTAGCGGTCCTTTCATTCCGGCTATGTATGTACATATATATATATATATATATATAAACCCGAAAACCCGAAACCCTAAACCCTGAAACCCTCCCAAAACCCTAAACCCAACCCCTAAACCCTAGACCCCTAAACCCCCAAACCCTACACCCTAAACCCCTAAACCCTAAACCCTTGAACCC